CAAACATGGGATCTGCGGCATGCAAAGCGGAACTGAGAAATCTTACATTTTAATTGAAACAGATACATACAAGGCTAGTTATAATATAAGGTGATAGATATAATAGTATTGGAATTAATAGGGATTCACAGTGAGTGCAGAGCCAGCACCTCAGCCTGAGGTGGTCGGGAACCCTTAACACAGAAGGTGCATCTAAAGAAGCTCCTGGAGGATGAATAGTTTCCCCAGCAGAGAGGGAAAGGAAACTGTGGCAGAATTTGAAGGTGGCCCCAGTGATCTTTATCCTTGTATAATTCACTCCCATTAAGTGGGCGTAGAACTTGTGGATATGACGAGACTTTACACCCATGATATGCAGATGTAATCAAGGTCCCTATCAATTGCATTAATCCAAAAGAAATTATCTGGGTGGGCCTGATCCAATCAGGTGAGCCTTTAAAGAGACTGGGACTTTTCTGAAGTCAGAGAAGTTGGAAGGGCCCATGGAGGAGGCCGTGCGTCAGGGACCCAAGAGCCACCGCTAGGAGCTGCATGTGGCTCCAGACAACAATGAGCAAGATCAAGGGCGTTAATTCTGCCACCAACCTCTAGGAGCTTGAAAGTAGACCTTTCCCTAGTCGGGCCTCAGGCTGAGATGGCACCTTGATTTCAGCCTTGCGAGACACTGAGCAAAAGAACTCAGCTGTGCTGGGCCTGGATTTCCGACCTGCACGATGTAGTAAATTGGTGCTGTTTTAGTTACTAAGCCACTGAGTGTGGTTTCAAGCCTCTGCAGCAGTCGAAAACAGAAGGGAATTCTATGGGGGGCTGGGGGGCAGGTAATAACACAGCTACCTTGCAGGTGAGAAGGGATGTGGAAGGCCGGGGCTGAGGATGGCAGGAAAGAAGATGAGAAAGCCAGGTGGGGGGTGCTTTCTGAAAGGCCTGTTCCCAGGAGCATGAGCAAGCGTCAGCACAGACGGGTAACCAGATCTACGGCTAGAAAAATCCATGGGAGAAGTATGCAATGAACTGGAAGGCAGTTGTCCTAAAACCAGCGAGACTGGAAAGGGCTCTGTCGTAATAACCAAGACAAGAAATGCTGTAAAAATGGCTCCCAGAGACATTTAGTGGCCAACCGGACTTTAGGCCCATTTTGTTTTCACATTTCTTTTAAGTTCTTTTAGAAACACACACACACACACACACACACACACACACACACACACACACACACACACACACACACACACACACGATAGAATCGTGGACCTTCCAGCTGGGTAAAGCCTTAAGGAATCATCTAATGATATAAAGACCTCACCGTAAATTGAGAAAATATCAACTTGCTCACAGGAAAATAAGTGGGTGTAAGCAAAATTACATGAGTTATGACATCTGTGTAATTCTTGGTGTGTTGGGATGTGGGGTCGAGCTGGCTCAGCCCAGGCCTGGGCTCTCTGCTCTAGACGAGCTCCCGAAGCCCCTCGGAGCCAGTCAGTGATGGTCGTGTTTTCTCCGAGTGATGCTAAGAAACGCCTCATCGAAACTCTAGAAACTTTAGAAAGCCTTCCTTTCGGTAGATCGAACTATGAGATTTATAAAAGGACTCGACGTCTGGGCCGGATTCCAATAGGAGAACACAGGACCAGTGATAATCCAGCCTAACCCTAACGAAATATTACATCATCATCCACCGGGGAATTTGCTGTTTACATGTTTAGGCTTAGTCATATTTTAACCCCATCACACTGACCACACACAGGCAAAGCTCCCAATCGCCTCCCTGCAGGCACACGTCGCCAGAAGAGTCCCGCTCGGTGCCAGCTCTGCCTTCGAGCCCATGTGCCTTCTCGGCGATTACCACATCTTTCCCCAGTTCTGACCTTAGCACTGGGAGAGGTTCTGCCAAGATCGCAGAGCTCCGGTCCCACAGGCTTCTCGCTGAGATCCTGCAAAGTCATACCACTGGCACAGCTACAGAAGGGACCACACCCAGGAAAGAGCAGGCCCCGAGTGCTGGCTCGATAGCCACTGTCCCTTCCCATCGAAGAGGAGATGTGAAACCAAGAACCCTCAAGGAGAAGAGGAAGAGAGGAAAACAACGGCCCGTGGGGCAGTGCTCTGTTCACCCTTTAATGTCCCACGCTGCACCATCTCCTGGAGCCCAATCTGCTCCTCCCTCACCCCCGCCCCTGATGTCATACAGCTTTACGGTGTCCTGTGTCACTGAACTTACCACACTGTATTGTATTTACCTGTCTCCTTCCTCTACCGGACTTCGAGCTTCTTAGGGCAGTGGTTATACTGCTCTACCCAATCGAGTAATATTTAGTGAGCTCCTACTGTATACCAGACATTTTCCAGACACTGGAGACGCAACAGTGAACAAGGCAGACTAGTCACCTGCTCTGGTGGGACTTATTTCTGGTGAGGAGACAAACTTACGGACGTTTTTCTAAATACTTTTATGTTCCCAGATTCTAACAGTGTGCTTATCATATAATCAAAGTGTAAATATATGTGTGTGTGTATGTATATATACCTTGAATAAGTAAAAAGACCTGTAACCTCATGATGTATGAAAGATGAGGTGTCTTGTAAATGTGGATTAAGTACTTCCATTTTTTTTCTTTTTTCTTTTCTTTTTTCTTTTTTTTTTTTTTTATGCCTACCGCACCTGGTCTTCCTAGGTGGTCTCCCATCCAAGTACTAACCAGGCCCGACCCTGCTTAGCTTCCGAGATCAGACGAGATCAGGCTTGTCCAGGGTGGCATGGCCATGGACTTTTTTCTTTTTACTAAATACTCTTTGGAAGTATATGGTCTTCATGCTTTTCTGCTGACTACTGAAGGACCCACGAAGCAGTACCATAGGGCGAAGGTCAACCCACAGAGACGGCTATGTCTTCTGCCCATCACCCTGACCAGTACAGCCCCCATGACCAGGCTAGAGACAGCGGCATGAATGCCAGCATGCATAGCATGGAAATGACAGAAGTCACAATGAGGCTCCCAGCGGACACTGTCGCACGATGCTGGGTTTCTGGACTCCTAGAGGAATAATACTCCCGACATGCTGTACCCCAGCCCCCTCAATGGAGTTCAGCGTTTGGCTTTAACCTTGGGCCTTGCTTTCCATTAGGAGCCACCATCCTTACAACCTTTCAGAATCCCCGTACCTTCATTCCTGTCGTAGTGGACGTCTGTGTGCTCCCAGAATCCTCTTCTTTCAGAATCCGCCCTTTGCTTTCTCCAGATGGGGCTGTTGATAACCCCATGGCTCCCTCTCAAAAGTTTGGTGAGAGAGGGGCACGCTGAGTCAAAAAGGGACACTGTGAGTCTTTTTCAAGGAATCTTAGGTGTTTGGGAGGAGTCAGGGTGTTCTGTGCTCTGGAGTCATGGTTTGTAGGGAGATGTAAACAGTACACTGAACGAGCAGGGTTTATAATGTATTCATATGAAATTACTTTTGATTTTCCACTACCCCTTCGAAATTTTATCTGACCTAGAGAGAAATTCCCGTAGGCCTATTTTCTGATCATGCTTAGATCCTCAAGTCACAAACACCAGTCCCACTTTTCAAACTGCAATGTCGAGTCCAAGATGTTAATGAAAACTTTGAACTCGACTTAAAGTAAAATAGTCTCTCCCATTCCTGGACGTCGGCCTGCTTCAGGCAGAGAGGCAGCAGAGGGACATTAGGGTGGGGAGGAATGAGGTGGTTGACCTTTTCTGCATTTCTCTGTCTTATACTTCTAACTGTTCACCTCCTAACTGTTTTCTAGTTCTCACTCAAGGAATGTGAGCAGAAGCGGTCTGTGCCACTCCTGAGTGACAGCCCCATGCAGCCCATATTCTCTTCCCCTCTCTTCCCCTTTCCTCTTTGGCCCCGTGAACAATACAAGGCCTGGAGATCGATGAAGCCACAGCCCGCTAACGACCAGGTCCCTGAATGAGCATGTGGAGCAGAGCCTAAGACCAGCCTGAAAATCTTACCTTAGACTGATATGTAAAAAAGAGATTTTAGTTCTTTGACTCATGATATCAGGAGATCTTTCTGTCATTTTACTCTAGCTATGGCCCGAGGTTAAAAAAAGGGACACCCCAAGTTGGATGGCTGCTAAGATATTTCCTACATCTCAGAGGGTCTGGGAAATTGTATGAGGGATAAAATTTGAGATGTTGCCATTGTGTGCTATGCTGTAGCTCTCCTTGGTTACCTTAAAATCTAGGCATCAAATAGCCTTACATCTGTGGTGTTTTGAGAAACTACATATAGGAACAATGTAGGGAAGAGAGGGGAGAAAACATAGCTCAGAAGATTAGACATATAGAAGAGATGGAGAATTCACTGGAGCCAAGAAACTGTAGGAAGATAACCAGGAAAAAGATAAATCCCCAAAGACCTCTGAGGTGTACTGAGAAGGTGCTAGAATCTCCACGGTAGTAAGGGTGGGGCTTAAAGCCAATTATCTTCAGTAACTGAAAAATGGTGTTGGAGGAAGCGATCGAGCAGGCAGCAGACACTTAGCATATGTCCTTCCTTGTTGTTCAAATCATGTGATTTTTCCAGGCACAGTTCAAATGTCATTTCCTCTGTAAACTCATCTCCACCCATGAGTCAGCACGCAAGGGGGTCCTGCAAAGTTCCACGGGCAGGAGCCCCGTTCCCTGGTGGGAGCTTGTGGGCGGCCCTGCACAGCAAGCATGGCGTTCAGCTTTGCATTGTTGGAAATTAAAAAATACAATCGAATGAAAGAGTCTTTGACTGAGGACAGGTTGGGTTGTACAGCGTCGTCATGGCCTATCCTCAGAAGGCCTTGAAGGGGACACGGATTCGTTTTATGACTTCCTCTAAAGGGAAACTTGAACTCTCCCTGTGCCAAGGGGGCATTTTCCTCCCATCTGAGGGTGTCCCCAGCCTATATGCGTATCTCCATGGTGACCCTACACTCCTAGAGCCCTTCCCAGAAATGTCCAATTAGAAAGTCGCTCTTTTCATTTTTTTTTTCCTTTTAGGAAGGGACTCCCCGTTTCTCCTCTTTCACCAGCGGAATGAGCAGCTCAGGAACAGCAACTATGGATGAAAACTTAATTGCCAAGTACACCCCACGGCTTATTTGTGGAGGGAAATGTTCGTGACCTTTTGACCTTTCCGATAGCTGGCGAAAGCGAATCGGTAAGCCTTTTATTTTTCCTTTTTAATTAAACAGGAAAAAAGATCACACCCTAGCTTGGCTGGGAACCAAAGGCAGGGATTTCGGAGCTCTTCCTGAAAGATCGCAGCACAGATGTGTGGCTGGAGGATGGGAACAGAGGCCCGGCACGGTGTCATCATGGTGGCAGTCTTGGTCTCTTCCTAGAAACCACAGCGGCCAGGGCTTCTGGAAGGGGGTTACAAGGAGAACTGTAGGCAGTTAAGTTGCCTGTGCAGCAGAACCTCGCTCCTATAAATCAGGACCGTTTGCAAATGCACCACATCCTTTCTCCGACCGGGCCGGTGAAACTGCTTCCTTGACTCCAGCAGGTAGATGCCTGTGGTTTCAGAGCTCTGGGATGTTCCATGCCGTGTGCCACATGCGTGTGGTTTGTTAATGACCTGGGTGTCCGCTGAGGTTTGTGACCACGGATTGTCACAGAGCTCTACCTGACTCCCTTCTTCTGGAGAAGATGAGAACATTCTTACCGTATTAGTCACGCTAGGCCTTTTCTTTTTTTATGTAATACACAGGAAATATCCCTCTCCAAGAGCACATAATTTGGCCAATAGCCGCTTCCTAGGTTCAGAGCTGTCTCGCCACCTATCGTGAGTTCTCCAAGATAAAGTTTGTAATAGCACAGTTTTCGCCGAGTGTCACCGAGTTGCATAAACTCAAGGCATGCTTTGGCATCCAGTCACTCTGCAAATATTTATTGAGCAGAGTTCACCGGGGTCAACAGGATGAACTGGATGGTGGTTGTTCCTCATCCCTAGAATTTACCGCAACCCACGCAAAGGCACAGGCACTGTTTTGTTTCTCGACCAGGCATTTGAATATTGAATGAGGGACATCAGACCAGGTAGTACCTTCTCCTTGTATTAAAGTATTGACCATTGGGGCGGCAACACAGTTAGATATAAAATCCAGGTGGCTGCTGCCTGGGCTGAAATTGACCCCCTTGACATCGGAATATCTAGAAGCAGAAGACAGGGCCCCAGGACTATGGAGTTGACAAGCGAGACCACGTCTGGTTCTCCTAATTAATATTTTGTCCTTTGGAACCTGCCTACAATCTTTCAGACAGGAAATCCAGATCTGAGGCTGTCTACTTAGTTCAAAAGAACCGGTTAAAAAGCAGAGGGTAGAGGAAGGGGTTGGCATAGCGTGCACAGTCGGTCGGTTTGTCATTGGGTAGAAATTGGTTCGTGATCCGTGATGGTCAGTCTTTTGTGTCAACCTATGCTATAGCAGCCAGCTATGCGATAGCAACCAGCTATTGAATCAGACACTCATCTAGATGTTGCTGTGAAGGTATCTCGTAGCCGTAATTAACCTCTGCAATCAGTAGACTTTATGTGAAGGAGATTCCTGGGTAATCTGACCCAAGTCCAAGTCGTTGAAAGGCCTTAAGAGCAGAACTGAGGTTGCCCTCTGGAAGAAGAAATTCCACATGTGGTCTGGAGCATCAGTTCCTGCCGGAGAGGCTCCACCCTGCCCTTGCCGACAGGCACAGATCTGGGACCTACCTAGATAGTCCCATAACTGCAAAAGCCAATTCTTTGCAGTCTCTCTATCCACATAGATAGGAACATGTAAATACAGATGTCGATATGTAATATGAATATATTATATGTAATTACTATTATTACTATATAGCTATATAACTGATATTGATATTATATTAATATAGAGACACTTATTAATATATCGCCTACTGGTTCTGTTACCCTGATCGATACTGAGCATCATCTTGTCATTAACCTAGAGGTCATAAACCATGAGCTTGGTGATTTTTTTTCACTGGATCAAATACCAGTGCCCAAAGATAGTATGTAAGATGAGCAATGACCTTCAGGGTATGTCTATACCACAACAATACAGAATTTTCAATCCGATCTCAACGCGGAAGCCAGAGCTGTCCTACCAAAACACTGTTTAATACCCCGGCTGATTTACTCCCACGCTCGGTCAAGGGCGAAGTCTCTGTGTCAGCATCCAGACCTGTGAGATCTGGCTCTGCTTCTTGGGCCACGTCACCCTCTTGCTCCTATGCCCCAGCTGGGCCCTTATGTTCCTCATAGATGCCACGCTCACTTCTTATTCAGGACCAAGACTCCGTTTTTTTTTTTCTTTATAGCACTTATAACCATTTAAGATCTTCTATACTCACTGCCATGATCGAAATCTATCTCCTCTAAAACGTAAAGCTCCACGAGAGCAGAGACACCTGTCTTATTCACCACTGTATGTGTCCCCCGTACCTGTGCACATTAGGTAGTCTGTTAATATCTATTGAACGAAATGATGAATGAGTGAGCTTGATTCACTGGCGAAGTCAGCCAAATAGGTGAGTTGGCATCATTTAGATAAAACAATCGATTTCCTGATTTTTCATTTTCTGCCAGATATTTTCCCCCACACACATACCGTTGCAAAGGGCACTGACTTGCAATCAAACCTTTTTCAGTCGCTTTCCACTTGAACTTCCCTGCAACAGTGGACGTATTTGGTCATATCTTTTGTGCTTAGATCTTGTCTTCTCTTAGTTTTCATAATTCGGCATTATTCATTCAACAAGATCCATCTCTAAAGTGACCATTTCTAAAGTGAATTCTTCCCTGATTGTCTTGCCAGAAGTTACCTTCCCATCTCCTAAATCCTCAAAACATATCGCCATTGCTGTTCATATGACATGTGGCCTTGGCTGCCTCCTTCTGCAACTACATATGTATTTGCCAGTGAATTCTGGGGGCTCAGAACTGTGCTTTACTCATCCCTGCCTCCCTACAGAAACCAGTATAGTGTCCCCTTAGTGGTGACTTTCCAATTCTTATTTTTTGGAGCAATGAATAGATAGATAGGCATCCTTAGTAATTTGTCTGGTCAGTGAAATAAAGGAAAAAGGAAAAAAGAACCAAGATGCTGAGAAACGGGGAGAGAACAATGAAAAACACGTTCTCCACACTGTGACCAGCTCAAACCTCGTCTTCACGCACCCTAGGCTGTTGCCCTGGGTGCCAGGGTTAGGGCACAGCAAAGAATGAGGCCCGAGGGCTTGTTTGGTGAAAGGGGTTTTCATCTGAAAAAGGTCTCCCCTCGTGTCTCTGGGATGTTAGACGTGGAAATAAAGAGGGAAGAAGGGACCCAGACTTGCTTTTATTTCTCATCCATTCTTACTGCCAGCCTGTATTGTATATGGATCTGTGTACTGACTGTCTGTCCGGTGAGCATCCAAGACCTCAGGGAGTGAGGGCTGACTCTTTGTTCACCACAAGCCCCTCACTGCCTGGGATGACGTGTGGCACACGCGGGTACTCAGTGTTTGTTGAATGAATGAAATGGCCTAATCAAAGTGGTCGGTAGTGCCAGATTCTGTCCTGTCAGGTCTGTTTATTTTCTCAAGAATAGTCAATATCCTCCTTCCATAAGTCTGGTTGAACAGTTGTTTTATTCAGTCACAACTCATTTATCTGGTGACACCATCGAACCCTGTAAACACTTCGATTGCAGGATTGTGAGGCAGGATCACGCTAGCTCCTACGGATGCAGACGGACACAGATGTAGCGTCGTGCATATTTTCAGCCCTTGGCTAAAGTGACTAAATATTCCTAGGGGAATTTAAAACAGGTTTTCTTTTTCTTTTTCTTTTTTCACTTTTTGAAAGCAATTAACAAAAGAACTTGACGTCAATTCTACAGGTGGCAATGGTGGCACCACAGTGTGAGTGTACTTAATGTCACTGAACTATACACTCTAAAACGGTTAACATGGTAAATGTTATGTTAGGTATCTTTTACCACAATTAAAAAGCAAATAAAAAAAATTAATAACATAAGGAGATTAAGCCCACTCATATTATGACTAGCTAAACTGTCCATCAATGAAATTCTCTCTCTCTTCGCTTCCTTTCCTTTATGCTGGAACTCATATGCCTTTCCGTGTTTTGACCCCAACCTGAGGTGTAGACATACCAGTAGAGAATGATTTGAATGTCTAAAGACGACTCGATACATTCCTACAATTGCAGTGCCCACATGGCACGTGTTTATTTTCCGAATACTCTTGAAGAGCGTACTACTGCTTCATCTCACGTGCACGTTCTGTGCAGTAAACCGCGGTACGGCCCATAATTTTACCCTGAACGCTGCCGTCCAAGGGAATCTCAACGTTCTTCCACCATTATTTATTAGTTCCTACATTTATTGCTTTTGAAAAGCTCAGAAATATGGGCGACGTTTGAAACAGCTTAATTAAACTTCAGATGTGTGGTTCTGATGAGGCCGGCCTAGAGCCATGGTGTTACAAGATTCTCAAACAGCATAATCTAATTAACGTTTTTTTCTAGAACACAGAGGTCATAAACACACAGTGATCCGAAACACTCCGCATCTCGCCAGCTGGCATCTTCTCATTTCCAGTTTCCCTGCACTGTAATTTTGCTCCCGGTCGTGAGAAACGGTGGAGTTCTCCATTTTGGTAGATCGTATTAAGTTCCATGCTATTCAGTTGAGGTATTTTTTAATCAGCTAATTACATGTTAGTTAATAATAGAACGCTGCGTCAACAGTCAACCGTCGAATATCATTTTTAAAGAAATTGCTTCGCTCTTGCCGTAGGAGTGTCTGGAAATGGGATTGACCTGTGACAACAATATGATTACTCAGCGGTGCGTTATCGAATTATAAATAAACGCATGTGTATTGGATATCGGTATTATTGGGAATAACAACATCAACAGCAGTAACGACACCTGTAAGACACAGATTTTAATTTTCCGACCAAAATAACGTTTTCCATTACTGTCGTCCATTTTTTACTTTGTCAGTGAAGACGAGTTAAAGGAGAGTGAATCGCACTGGGTGATTAGGCCCGTTGCTGAAATCCCATTTGCAGTTCTGGCTGTGAAGGTGACAGAGGCGGCCACCTTGCGGTGTTCAGCTGGTCAGCCCCTCAGCCTTCCACATCCCATCTCGGATCCGATGGGTCATCACATCCTCGCTGTGCACGGATCAGTGACGATGCCACAGATGTGACGCCCTTCCCTGCAGGCCGTGTTTGTCTCTCCAAACGTGCTGGTTCAGACCTTGTCGTCTTCAGATTTATTCCTCGTCCTCCCCTGCTCTGCTTTGCTTTGCAGAAAAACTGCCCCCCCTGCAGGCTGGGTTTCCCAGGCCTCTAAGTCGACCAGTTGCCTTCTGGACTCAGCCCTCGAGAAATAAACACCAGTAGCAACCTGGAGGATGCAAGGAAGGGCGGGCAGGTCACGGAAACTCTGTCTCTGCCTCCGGTGGCATCTCTCCAGCAGCGGCAGCTCTTCTGCCGGCTTGATGGGCTCCCCACGCTCCCTGCATCCAGCTCAGAGGTGGCGGCACCTTCTCACCCGTGCTAATTTCTAGGTTGCCTCATCATCTCATTAGACTGTCACCAACATAACCAGCTCCCTACGCGAAGGTCCTACCGTTCTAAATACTCAGTGCTTTGTATTCCCCGACAGGCCAGGACTGAGATGCCAGACTAAAAATCGCAGTCTCCTGAGGCTAGATCCATTTTTCCTTCATTTCAGATGCTCATTTCTCAACATTTTTTTATCACATCTTTTTGATGCAGGACTCCATAAAATATGGGGTTTTTCTCTTTTCCTCTTTTAAAGAACGTTTTGGGTTTGCGAGAAGAGAAAGAAGCAGCATGGGGGGAGGGCAGCTGTGTATAAGGCACTAGCTCATCGTCTGTATCCTGGGGTTCCCCTTTTTCTACACAGCAGGGCACGCATTCTTGATGAAGTCACACACACCCAGGGACATGATGTCATCTTGCTTATTGTGTTACAGACAGGTTTAATAGTGCATCGTTGCGTCTTAAACCCCGTGATGGAACACACTCTTCTCCAGCAGCCAACCCCAGCATCCATCTGGTAGACATGTTAGTCACCGACCCCAAGAGCTCAGCGTGTTTCTCCCCATTGAGAGAGAACAGAAATGACTCTCGCAGATTTAAAGCTCAGTTTTACAACGCACCGATGACGTCATCATCACGAGTGCTTTTTTTCTTTGTCTCTTCTTTCTCTGCCTTTTTATTTTTTGCTTCCTCTCTCTTCCCCCTCCTTTCTGCGCTTCTCAGACCTCACCTGAGATCAAATAGCGTAACAGAGGGACACGCGTATGCTGGAAAATCATTGGCATCTGTCATAGGCCAAACAATCTGGAAGCTTTTCTACCACCGTCCACCCAAGGGCTTAACAGCTGCATGGAAGGATCAGGCACCATATCTCAAGGAAACCTTGCCTATTGTGGGAGACCCATGACTTCTAATGTGGTAAAGAAAGTGCCCCCCGTTGGTTTTATTAATTGCCTTCCACCCACTTTTCCAATCTGGAAGCTACAGAATCATTTTGACCGCTCTCTTCCCTCCCCATCCCTACCCAATGACAGTGTGTGCTCGCTCTCTATTTCCAGTCTTGCTAATTACTCCCACAGCCGACCCAGTGACAGCCAATGGTCTGGCCACGCTCACCGTTTCCTGAATTCTCCATGGAAGCATTCGCATCTCTCTTGTTGTTTCTGTTTTTGTTGTTCTTCCTTAGCCCTTTCACAGCTTGGAAAAAACCCGACTTATAATTCAAAGTCCTTCGCAAATGTCCCTTTCTCTGCGAATATCCCAGATCGCACACAGAATTGATCTCGAAGTAAATATATATGTATATATAAACTCCCAAGGATAAGGGGAACAAGAGAGAAGAAAATTCTGCAAGCTGGAAAGTAGATAGATAAACAGTAAATGAGTTAGATACCCGAGGAAAAGAAAGACTAAGCCAGCATGGAGAAAACTGAAAACAAACCCAGATTTATAGTACATAATCTCCAAAGGCTCAAAATTTGGCCTCATCTGGTACCTTGAGAAGTAGGAGTAGAAGGGAGTGGATAAATTTTAAAAATCGGTTGGAAGCATTTTTTATAAGAAACGGGCAGATCGCCAGTTCCCTGGCTCACTATGCCAGACTGTTCCACCCCAGTTTATTGTCTAGAAAGAGCAGCAGGCACAGCTGATGGTGCAGATGTCTTACTTTAAAAAATGGTGCAGTGCACGCTAAAAGCAAACACCCTCTCTCTGTGTGTCCTCTTGGCTCTCAGAACACTAGCTGCTGGGCATGACATTTAAAAAAAAAAAAAAAATCTTCCATGGGAAATATTTCTTTGCCAAAAAGAAGGATAGAAAGAAATTGACAGCAGAGATTCTCCATTAAAACCACCCAGCCAAATCACTCTACAGTAAAACTGACGGTTAACAGTCCTCGTTCATGCTCTTGGAACAGCAAATCAGCTTCTGAGTGCCCTGCTCTTACACGCGAAAATTGCCAGACCCCGGAGGAGAGCGTCCAACACGGAAAATGCAGAACCAAGAAGAACCCATGCTCCTCCCCCAATCCATCACACAAAGCAACTCGGCTAAGACGATGATTTGCAGAGAAAAGAAGACTTCGATATCTAGAACTTTTTATTGCTGTTATCAGGGAGATAAAATATAAATGCAACCATGCAATGAGAATCAGAGATTATTTTTTAAAGGAAGGAAGACGTTGTTAGTAGAAGAGAAATGTATGAACATCATAGGACTAGGACGAGTAGTCCAAAATCCAAACAAAAAACGGGAGTTCCAGAGAGAATAGAGATATGGAGAGGAGGAAAACATCAATAAAATTATTCAAGAAAACTTTCCAAAATGGAAAGACCAGATTGAAACAGCTTACCAAATACCCAGTTAAGGAAATATGAGTAGACTCCTATGAAAGTAAATCATCGTGAAATTTCAACAGAGAGAACTTAAAGGTTTTCAACGATGAAAAAGAAAAATAGGTCATATACAAAGGATCAGGAATCAGCCAGACTTTAGACTTCTCGGCAACCCCGAGAGGTCAAAGGCAATAAAGCAAAGCCTGCAAATTCTGAAGGGAAATGATCTCCAACCTAGATGTCTAGACCCCGATAAACCGTCAATCAAATACAAGGGTAAGATAAAGATATTATCAGGTCAACGACATCTCGAATATTTATCTCGCAGTTTCTCTTGCATGGAAAATAACTAGATCATGTGATCATCCAAGAAAGGTTATTAACTAAGAGAAGACATGGCATCCAGGAAGTGGGAAACTCAAACAGGAAAAAGGCAAAGGAATTTTCAAGATGGCCGGGCAAAGAGATGCCAGGATGGAGCTATGCCCTAGGAACATGGCGACCACCAGTCCAGTTCGAGGAGCTCAGAAGGCTTGGGAAGAAATTCTGGAAGATGAGATTGAATGGCAATCAACTGGCCCTGAATGTCTTAAGAAAAAAATTCAGACAAATGACAAAGTGTTTGAGGTTGAATTAGTAACAAGTACATATAAAACGAAGTAAATTTAGAAATGAGCAAAAAAAAGTAATTCTAGGGAAAATTACAAGTTGTGCAGAAAAGGAAATGTAAACAGATTTTACATGACTCATCTATGAAAACGATTTTCATAGCCATGATAACAGAATATTTGCTTTAACCGGAAATGCAACATAATGTTATGGAGAGGCTGGCGGGCAGAAGGGTACACACGTGCAGTGAAAGGAATAGGGCAAAGTCTCCTCTTTCCTAAGGGAAAGCCAATAGATTAATTCTAAAACTGAAAAATCAAGAAGTAGCAATGCAACCGTGCCATTAAAGACATGGAAATAAGCAGTACGATAATCAGCTAAAAGAAGTGACAGTGGCTATCTCTGGGGAAAGAAAAACTCTACAGGACAAGAGCTACAAGATGCTGGCACTTTTTTCTAAACGATTTTTTTTTTTTTTTTTTTTTGGTAAATCTTACAGAACTACGAGGATGCTTAAAATCTGTGAGCTATAACATTGGTCAAAAAAAATCCCTGTCAGGCAAAGTTAATTGCTCATTCTTCCCTTGCGCAACTAATGTCCCATGAATCATGCTGCTTCATGGCTACCTTTGTTTCTGTCAGCCTATAAACCCTGAGCTCTTTTAGGCAGGACCTTCTCGTATTCATATTTGTTTCCTGGCTCACCACAGAGCTGACATTCAACAAACATTTCTGAAAAGACTTAAAGAATTATTGGCCCTAATTCCCCCACATGGTATTATAGAAATCGAGTCTAAGCCCTCTTTCAAATAAAAAACTACCAAGTATAGCCATGCACAATATAAAAATGTTTTTGTCAACAACAGACTGGGTATATGATGGTGGTCCCATAAAATTATAACGGAGTTGAAAAATGCCTCTCGCCCAGTGATGATATAATGTTGTAGCGTGAAAGTACCATAACCATATTTTTACTGTATCTTTTCTATGTTTAAATGCACAAGTACTTACCATTGTGTTACGGTTGCCTACAATATTCAATACAGCCGCATGCTATGCAGGTTTGTAACCTAGGAGCAATCGGCCGTATCATTCGGATGATAGGTATTCCCTTTGTCTACAAAGATACCATGAAAATCCTTGTCAAATGCCTTGTCCAAGTAGCAAAAACTATAACAAAAATGAACATTTATCATATATGTGCCAGACAGTATGCTTAGAACAAATAATGTCAATTTACATATTAAAGCTCATTAAGTTTTTACAACTCTTACAACTACTGTATTTTTCTGATCTACCAATCTAGTAATACCATCTTTTTGCTGCATATATTTGTCAAATGAATTAAATGCATATTGTCTTTTTATACCTTCTCTTGGAAAGAAGTCTGTTCAACGTTCCCAAAAATCCTGCGGTTTTTCAGATTTTAGCGTTTTTGACACAAAACTTTCCTAATAAATTTAATTATCTAATGCCTTTCCTCAAGAATCATACATCTCTCAGAGGACTACAGCTGGAAAACACCATGCTGGTCTTTTATTCCAGCTTTTCCAGATCTTTATACTAATTTACTACGTGTTTCGCTTCTTTGGGACTTTGTAATTATTCTATTCGACTCGAATGCTTCTGTCTCTTCCCACATTTATGACTAAAACTTTTCCTATCCTTTCTCATAAGTATCGCATATTCCAAAAGCATTGTGATGATTCTCCAGGGAGAAATTTCTTTCTCATCTGAAAAATCTGGATTTTCATAGGTGTCTTCCGTGAGGTTCTATCACACAGAGCCTCAAATCCTTATCCCCACAGAACTCCCTCCATTATTCTCAAAGTTCCTTAAGGTCAAAAGACTGTCTTTTATTCATATTTTTATTCAGAACTTTACCTATTATAATAACTTACTCATAGTAGATGCTTAATAAAATCTGTGCATTGGTCCAGAACCTTAATCTATTGTCTGCTATAGTTGTCACAACAGGCGCTCTGTAGGAGATCTTGTTGGGGATAATATGGCATTTGTGTACTTCCCAATACCTCCATGGACGTACAGAATTCTGAGTGGGAAAAAAATTACACATCTGAGGACCAGTCCATCTCAACGAGGTGACAGCCTTCTCGGTTTCTGAATCTAGAAGTAGACTTAGAGATTTGAAAATAGGAGTCTGAGATTCGATAGCTATGTGCCTATCTGACAAAAACCACCCATCCAATCAGCAGTGATGGGGAATCTCACATCTCCTAGGGCAGGGATGGGGGATGAAAATGTCTGCACCGAGGAGCTGAGGGGCCTGGCCTTGACCCCCCTCCACTCCCGTGGACAGGCTGAGGGCTCTAGTCCCTAGACTGTTTCAGGGGCTTCATTACTTCATAAAGATTACATTGGCTGCGAGAGTCACAAGCCCAGAGATTGAAGAGCAATCACATCCGTGAACTCTTCGAATAACAAATTGTTTGCTCGTGCTTCGGATGAGCGTGATTGGGTTGCCTCGTTCTAGACTTAGCAAACCTCTCCAACTAGTTTTCAGATGTTTTTGATCTTCAAAAATCAAAGTCCGTTTGGCTAAGCACGATCCCCTTAATTTTTAAAACCCACACACAACTTTATAGGAAATGTTGCTCGCATTGTTTTGATGCATTTACATGTTAAATCATCAAAATATTGTTTGGCAAGGGTGTTTTGAAGTCCAAGCAGCCTTTATAAGCGTTTTTTATAAGCTGTTTGTCTTAAAAACAGGAAGCTTCATTTTGCCAAGAATAAACAGACAGAGCTGAAGAGGCAGTTGGCACAGGATCGAGTGGGTCCTAAACTTGGCAGCGCACCTTCCCCATCCTTTTATTTCTTGTTTCCCTCCCCCAAACCAGGCCCTAAAGCCAGGCTAGGATGTACGCAGCAACAGAGAAAACAGGAAGAGAAAATAAACAGCAAGCGGAGGTAACATGTTAGCCACGCTTTAGTCCCCGCCCTGCTTTCAGAGACACCAGGGACCTGATGCACTGAGAAACCGAGGCACTGGAAGGTCACCCTTTTTCAAGGTCCCAGTGCAAATTCAGATCCAAGCCCAGCGACCAAGATGGCACTCTTCTCGCCTGCTGTCTTCTGCCCTTCCCCTCAGCCATCAGCCCTCCCGGGGACAGAGAGGACACACAGTTGACACCCTCCATTAGGAAGATGAGCTTGTTTGCAATCTCGGGGCAGCTGTAAATCACCACATCTTGCTCTTTGATCATGTGTTTTCAGTCTGTCAGAGAGAAAAGCCCTGCCCAGTGTTTATTCTGCTCGGGTCCCAGTGGCGGGTGTGGGACACGGCGACGTGGGCGGGCAGCACCGAACAACCGAGCACCTCACGGCAGGAAGAGCGCTGCTGGCTGCACTCACCGCCTTTCCCAAGAACTGGCAGGTCCCTTCGCCTGGTGCTCTGGTTCCCAGAGGTAGGCATCTCTGAAATTTAGGTAGACTTCCAACTATTCCGAACAAAACGCAAAGCACTGCCTGGCTTGCATTTCTGAAGCCAGCTGGTGCCAGAAACCTATCTGAATTTTTTCCTTTTTATATCCCAATTCTGAGCTTAGTTTTCTTTTGACATTTGGGCTTTAGAATTTTAGGAAAAGGGAGGAAGGCAGAATTCAACAAAAACGCTATTCAGCCGCAGTTAACCAACATTAAAAAAAAAAATGAAGTAATCATTTCAGTGAGTTTGTAGACTCGCATTTCAAAGTAATCTGCCCATGAAGTTGAAAAAGACTTCATATTTTTCTCATCCCGCCCCTCACACCAAATCAAATTAATACTAAATTCTATCTTTTTAAAAAATCATGAGACACATAGTTTATCTGTTCTCTCAAGCTGTCTCTGAGCCAGTCGAAAAGTCCCCCACACTTAAAATGATCAAATATGCACGTGGAATTTTCATTAGAAGTTTGAGGGGCATTGGGTTGACCCAATTCAATTGCTAGAGCATGTTTTCCACCTGTTACCACTTATAAAAAAAAAAACTCATTCCACCCCCCAGTGCTAAAATTATGGGGTTATTTATACCCCAACATTTGGGGAAGCTAAAGAGGTGAGATAACGGAATGAAAATATACTTCGCTCTTCGTCATTTTTCACAAACAAGCGGTTCTCAATGTATATGAGAACTGAGGACGAAACAACACTACATGTATGTCAAGAAAAGACCGAAGATTTTTTAAAAGCTGTTTAAATGCCTCTGAAAGGGATAAAGAGTTTTATTTCCCTCATCCTACGTTTCCTCCCTCCCTTTGAAGAAGGCGTAACCGTCTAAGTTAAGACCGTTTCTATATGGGAAGAGTAATGACTGCATAGTTGACTAGGCGTGCGTGGAGGGAATAGAGCAGCCCAGGGAGTTTGGGCTAATAAAAGCCGTGCAGTTGGGCAGAGTACGGACAGAGGCGATGCGTAGAGGGTGGAAAGCACGCAGAAGAGTGAGCTGTGGCCGGTTGAATGGGACACGCACAGAAGGGAATATTCCGTCATTGACCTCATCGAAGGCAAACAAACATAAACACGGGGCACAAGACAAAAACACAACACTCCTAATAGGAACGAACAGGGATTTTTATTTTCGATTAAATGTCTGCATGTTTAAATCGAGCGTATACCATCTCGGAGCATCTGAAATACAGAGGTCATCAGTGGCGGGAGGGACTGCCAACATCACGGTGACATTTCTGAGACTCTCCCAACTGTCACCTCGGATTGGTATGATTAACTAAATTTGGGGAGGGAGGATGTGCCTTAAAAGTAAATGTATTATTTAAAACTCATAAATTGAAGTAATAATACAAAGCTCAATTTTAGTTTAGAAGCAAATCAAATAATATGCGCATTGTTTTTCTCGTTAACTTATAAGCCGTTCTTTCCTATCTGATGGGACACATTCTCTGTAGGGATAGAGAGAAAACTCTGTTCTTCTCTTTTGGATTGTCATCTTCAACAGGCAGCTATTACCTCGAAAAAAGAGTTCGTTATCTGTCTCCAAGCCAATTTTTCCTCCTCTTTCTTTTCCGGTCCGTGGTATCATGAGTCTCTCCATTGCCCACACTGAGCACCTTGAAATGACCTCCGACCGTCCTCTTTCCCACCATGTCTGCTCCGCCTCCGAGTCCGGTCAGTCCCTGCTCTTCAGTGCCTCTCCCCGCTGTCTTCTGTCTTAACGGCCCCTGCTGGCTTCCCAGCTCAGCCCGAGTCATCTCCATCCTCAGCTCTCCTCCTTCTTCCCTGCTGGGGTCCCTGTTTCCACTCTTCTCTCCATCCCATCAAACCGAAACATCATAGCCGAACCCAATGTCCATGATGTCTCTTTGCATGATTAATGCAAAGCGGGGTGGCTACTTCACCAATGCGTGTTCTATAAATGGCTATCTTTGATTCAAGAGCCTTTAATTACTGCCCCATTGCCCTTTAAGGAAAGTCTGAAACCTTCCATTAGGGATTAGATGCCATCACTTATCTATTATTATTTCTAAATCTCATGTCTCCCCGCTCCTTTCTTTGAAAACACCACTCTGGTCAAATTGGTCTATCCACAGTTTCCTTCCAAACCATCCACAGTTTCCTCTCCACGTCCAGGTTCGTAGGCAGACAATGGTAGGTACTTGGACTGGATTAATATATGGAGTTAAGGCTGGGACTGTCCCTTTGGCCATTTGCTATGGATGAGCATGATGAGAGATTCCTTCTGCGGAGAGAAGCAATGCAGTGGACGTACAGACAGAAACGAAAATGAGAGCATATGTGGCCACAAAGAGAGAGAGTCATGCAAAAGACCCCTGATGCTCTCCTATTGCAGGTCGAATCTCAATGAGACTTTGTTTCCAGGAGATGCCATTTTAGTTTTCATTATGTCCCTCTTTAAGCCTCGATCCAAACACTAGCTTGTGACATAATGTAAGGCACTCCAGCGAAAACAACAATAATAGTTGATGTTCATTACATCCCTGAAACCATCCCAAGCATTTATGTGAATTTTCTCATTTACCTCTCAAGCAGAATTTTGAGGTAGATGCCATTATTTTTCCCCATTTATAGACGAGAGAGCCGTGGCATTGGTCCAGTTAGTAAGTGAGGGAGCTAGGTTTCGATGCAAGTTCTCTTACTCCGGGGTCCACCCTCTTAACCATCAACTGTGTCCTTGTGTGAATCTCATCAAACCTCACTTTCTCTTTATATGTGGTTAGTATTCCTGACCTTACCTATCGTGCAGATTGAAAATGATAATATATGTGTAGATGCTTCGTAAACTTTATAATTCTCTGTGTTAAGATTTTGTTTTGCTTCGGTTTGATCCTGGTTTAACCATGTGTTGATTTTGATCATTCATTCATCAGTGTATCCATCCAAATAATTTACAAATATTTACTGAGCACAACATATGCAGTGTATTGTGATATGTTGTATTAATGCCTGAGGTGTTTATAGGCACATATAATGGAGAAGACAATTATGTATATAT